GCAGACTCTAATTATTACGCGCAAATTCGCAACATAGCCACTAATCCACTAATACCATCTTCCCTAACTTACGATTTATTCCCTCCAACATTGTATATGCATGTAATTCATTACGTACGTACATATGTGCGTGTATGTGCATATGTGCGTAGATGTAACCAACAATAATGCAATTTTATAGAAAAAAAAACTTTTACAAAATTTAGCCACTGCCTTTCCTGATTTTTAATCTATTAATACAGTTTTTCTATGTCTTTGGCTTCAGAGAAAAAGCCTCCAGTGTTAGTAAAAAAGTGTGAATGTATCGAAACTTGAGAGCAAGTTCTTGGACGGGTTACGTCGAATTTATTAAAGCACATAACGCTCATATCGCGTCCAAAGGAGGAATCTTTTTAGCAAGGCCCTGTCTGAAAGCGTTTATTTAGAAGCGCTGCTTAATTTGCCAACTGGTTTCCTATTTCTACCCATTCAAGTTTTTTTTTTAATTTGCCATCGTATTTTTACATATATTTAGTGTAAGACCAAAAAATCTACACAACGTACTCCCTCTTCAAAAGAGCCACAGCTAAAAATCAGATCCGGAAATATAACTGCTTGAACATATTCAACGCAAATAATACAAAAATAGGTATAACAGTTCATTTATGAAAAACATCTGCCTATTTTTTTTTTTTAGTTGTTTTGAAGAATGTGCGCGGTATGTATGTATTTGGTATCAATTATACGATAAAATACGCTTAGCTCGGCTAAAATACAAATAAAAATTGTTTTCGAGATAGGTACTTAGTCATATTTTTCTAGACTTGAATGTGAATCGAAATCCTCAAGCCCATTATTTATTTCGAACGGGTTACCACCGTGAGCCTCATTATCGTTGCCAATTGACTTAAAACTAAAATCGTCGATTCCTAAAACTAAGCTGTTTTTGTTTAATCTATTCGAAATGTTGTTAAAAAAGACATTTGCAGAAATTTGTCTGTAGAACTTGGATAATTGGCGAAATTCCATAACGAGACAGCAACATTATGAGACCTTTATGAAAAGGAGATATCTTGCTTGCGATCCCGCTAATTTGGACAACAGGCCGTAACTAGGAATAACGGAGTTTCATAATGATTTTCTCTGAAGGAAGCCGTGAAGAATTAGGGTTGTCATTAGAACCAAAGCTTTAGACCTTAATATCAATTTAGTTAGTGAATTTTTATTATTATTTTTTCCTCTAATTTTACCCACTGATTTAATTTTTTTCTTTTTGTAGCAAGGTAAAGAGAAGAAAAATCGAAGATCTAATTAGTTTCGAATTGACCTTAATTAACGCGTGCAAAACTCTAACAAAACTTAACAATTTTTGCTAACAACTACAAAGAACCGCTGATGAGACTTCAAGCCCCTCCCGCTCATATAATCCTCAATCAACCAACTAACCATTAATAATAATTAACACTGAACTAATAAATATCTCATGTAAATAACCTTTTGTGCATTCTGTTTTACAAAATTTTTGCTGCTGCTCTGAATTCCTGAAAACGCAGATACGCCGCAAGAGAGTATGCAGATCCCTATTTAGGACATGGCATCGGACCGGTACCCGGCTATGGGGTGAGTTTTTTTGACATGTAAAAAACCTAAATATAGAGCAATTATTTAATTAATATTATTTTTGAAAACAACAGGCAACCATGTATCGAGGTGGATTCAATCGTTTCACGCCATATTAATTTAAGAAGATACCTGGACGACTAGGTATGGAGCAGCAAGTTCATGCTGTAAACGAGGGAGCATTCTCCTAGCAGCTGCGCTCACCACCCACACTCAATGATTTACACATCACATGAAACCAAATATGAATATGTATTGCATAAGGACATAAATTTAGTGTTAAGTTAAGAGATACATGAAAACCTTGAAATGCTCAAGAAACAATGCAATTTTTAATGAAGCAACCAAAAAATACTCATGCCAACCAAGCGTAATTACGATGAGATTAAAATCAAATATTTATATGATAGCACAGCCAAGCAAAGATTATAAAGTATAAACTTAGTTGAAGATTATCTATAACATATACATACTCACATATATAAAGAGATATGTGCATATAATTGAAAAAGGCAGTAAAAAAAAAACAGAAGACACAATTAACGGAAAAATGCGTAGTTGTTAA